AACACTGAAGAAAATAGGGATATAAGAAACCAACTTCAACATCATAAAGGATATAACAGAAAAAAAAAAAAAAACCCAAAGCCTGCCAAATGAATGGGAAAATCTGAAAGCATTTACTTTAAAATCTGCAACAAAAGAATGTCTAATCTTATTACTTCTATTTAATAATACTAGAAATTCTAGCCAAAACAATTAGGTAAGAGAAGAGGAATAAAGGATAAAATAGGAAAGGAAGAAGTCAAATTATCACTGTTTGCTCATGATATGATCCTATACCCAGAAGATCCAAAAAGATCCACAAGAATACAGCTAGAAACAAACAAACACACACACACACACACACACACACACACAAAAAAAAAAAAAACAACAGCAAAGTAGCAGGTTAAAAAATCAACATACAAAAAAAATCTGTTTTTTATGCATAGCAATAATGAATTTGTGAAAAAGAAGTCAGGAAAAACAATCCCATTTACAATAGTCGTTAAAAAAGTACCCAGCAATAAATCTAATCAAGAGGTGAAATTTTACAATGAAAAACAGAGAACATCGAAGAAATAAATTCAAGAAGACACAAAAAGATGGAAAGACCTCCCATGTCCATGGTTAGACAGAATTAATATTATTAAAATGGCCATACTACCAAAAGCAAAATACAGATTCAATGCAAACCCCAACACAATAACAATAGCATTTTTCCCAGAACTACAAGAAAACAGTCCTAAAATTCATTTAGAAGAATAAAAGACCCAGAATAACTAAATGTTGAAGGGATCATAATACCTGAGTTCAAATATACTACAGAGCTATAGTAACAAAATCTGCATGGTGCTAGCATAAAAACAGTCACATAGAACAATGGTACAGAATAGAAGACAGAGAGACCAACCCACACAGATACAGTCATCTGATCCTTGATAGAGGTGTCAAAAACATGCATTAGAGAAAAGACAACCTTTTAAACAATGGTGGTGGGAAAACTGGTTATGAATACATAGAAGAATGACTCTAGATCCTTATCTATCATGATGTACAAAAATCAACTCAAAATGGATCTAAGCCCTAGGAATTAGACCAGAAACTATGTAACTCCTTGAAGAAAATGTAAAGTCAATACTACAGCATACAGTCATGGGCAAATGAATTTCTCAATAGAACCCCTAAAGTTTATGAAATAATGCTAAGAGTTAATAAATGTGATGGAGTCAAATTTACAAGCTTCTGTATAGTAAAGGAAACAATTAGGAATGTGAAGAAAGAACCTATGAAATGGGAGAAAATCTTTGTTAGTGACTCTTCTGGCAGAGAATATTCAGCATATATAAAGAACTCAAAAAATTTAATATCAAAAAAGCAAATAACCCAGTTAATTAATGGAGAAAGAATTAAACAGATACTTCTCAAAAGAAGAAATACAAATGATCAACAATTATATGGAAAGATTCTTAATATCTTTACCAATTAGGGAAATGAAAATCAAAATTACACTGAGGTTTCATCTCATTTCTATCAGAAAGGCAGTCATCAAGAATTCAAATAATAATAAGTGCTAGAGAGGATATGGATAAAAAGGAACACTTTTACACTTTTGCCCAGATTGTAAGTTAATAAAGCTGCTATGGAAATCAGTATCAAGATTCCTCAAAAGACTAGGAATGGAACCACCATATCATCCAGCTTTACCATTTTTAGTTATTTATCCTAAAGATTTAAAGTCATCATACTATAGTAATACATGCATACCCTTGTATATGACAGCACAATTCACAACAGGCAAACTATGGAACCAGCCCAGGTGTCTGACAACAGAAAAATGGATAAAGAAAATGTGGTAAATATACACAATGGAATTTTATTCAGCCATAAAGAAAGATGAAGTTATAACATTTACAGGAAAATGAATGGAACTTGAGAGCATTATGTTAAGTAAAATAAGCCAACTTATAAGTTGCTTATTTTAAATTTAATTTAAGAGTTATATGTTTTTTCTCCTATGTGGAAGGTAGAGAGGAAAAAGAAAAAAGATGTGGGAGATCTCATGAATTGAAGGGAGAGTAGAGGAAAAGAACCAGGGGGTAAAAAGGAGGGGAGAGAAAGTGAATATACTGAGGAATAATATTGGTCAATATATGAGTTGTATTGTGTGCATGTATGAATATATAACAACAAATCTCACTGTTGTGTGTGACTATAATGCACCAATAAAATATACAAAAAAAACCCCAAAACAATGACCAATGAACACTATCTTTCTTGCCTGGTTATAGCAATAATTAAAAAAAATACTTTTTTTTTTCTTTTATGTAGTGCTGAGGATTAAACCCAGGGCCTCACACGTGCTTGGCAAGCACTGACCTATATCCCAGTCCCATAAAGAAATAATTTTTGAATAGTCTCTTATTCTTTTTTCCCCAGGGGGACTACTCCACCACTGAGCCACACCCTCAGTCCTTTTTTTTATTTCTTATTTTGAGGCAGTGTCTCACTAATTTGCTCAGGGCCTTGCTGAGTTGCTGAGGTTGGCTTTGAACTTGTGATCCTCCTGCATCAGCCTCCTGAGCCACTGTGGTTGCAGTCATGGGCAATGCTCCAGCAGTCTCCTATTTATCCTCGTCCTTCTGTAGTTCATTTTCAGTCATAGCAGAGTGACTCTATTGAATTTAAGTCAGATTATGTGTTTTCTACTTCAAAGTCTCATGGACTTGTCATATCTCAGAGGAAAGCAAAGTAAAACAAAAGGACAAAATGCCTTTTAAATTGCCTATAGTAGCACACACTCTAGCCCCCTTCACTTCTTTGTGCTGTCTCCTACTTCTCCAGTCTTCACTTATTGCACACAGGGCTCTGGCTTCTCTATGGTTTCATAACCACATCAGACATGCTTCCACCTCGAGGCTTTGTGATTCTACTCCTTTACTGAATGATTCTTACTGAGATGGCAGCAGGGTTTTCTTTCTCTCTAAGTCTCTGTACAAGAATCACCTTCTTAAGGAGGCTTAATGTGCTTACTTTTTAAAAAAAATCACCAACCCTCCTTCCTCTATAGTCTTAATCTCCTTTACCCTCTCTCTATATTAACCGTTTATCATAGTCTAATATACTCTTACTTATCATTTTTTTTACATCATCTGTGTTTCTTCATAGGATGTAGGCTCTAAAATAACAGAGAACTTTGCTTTACACTATGTGTGTATCCAAGAACCTGAGAATAGGACCTGTCATACAGTCAATGTTCAAAAAGTATTTTTGTCATTGTTGAAAATATAAAAGAATTTAAGGGAAGGTAGTATAAATGTTGTGGTTTGTTTGTCAAAATTATCAAGAATCTACTTGACAACTGAAGCTCACAAAATAGTTCTAATGGCTGTTCGTTAGAACACTGATTAGAGGCATCTCCTACATGCATTTTTCTGGTCTGAACTTTTACAATATTTAGTATTCTAAATTTATTCCTATTTTGTTCTCATGCATCCTTCATTTACCTTGACCTCCACAATTCTTTCTGCTTTCTCTATTAATACCACCTCAGACATTCAGCTTAAGACAACTAGATAAATAATTTTTGATTTTTTACTTTTTAGAAGCTGCTAATCTATAAAATGTCTCCTAAATTTTTAAAAAATTTTAAGTAATCTGATGAACAGCATGCAGCTTGAAACACGTTAATTCACAACATACACTTCCTGATAGATCTCTTGTAGATACTCACTATCCCATCTCAAGCAATTCCCACACTTGTTTATATAGTTAGCATGCTTGACTTGGCCCACTTGTCACCTAACATCAAGAAAAGCCTTGACAAAGTAATTTCATATAATGGAATATATTATTTATATGATATTACATGTGTATATGACACACACATAACATGTAAGTTTGGATGGCATGACCTTCCACCTCTGCTCCTCCCCTCCAGCGAATGCCACCCTCACCTGACAATTGAGGCTGCCAGTGTCTTGATCTTGGAACTCCCAGCCTCAGAGCTCTGAGAAATAATTTTATTGCTTATAAATTACTCAGTCTCAGGTATTCTGTTGTTGCAGCACAAACAGGTTGAGTAGTAATATGATTTTACTGTGCTGGTTCAGAAAGAAACAATTGAAAACAATTTTTACATTTCCTAGCTCTGTTTAAGAAATATAGACACAAACTGTCAATTGGCTTCCCATAATCATATTGTGATTAGTAATAGTTCTAAAAGTCCTGACTCCCCATCAAATGGGCAATTTTCATGATGATAATGTGGCAAGTGTGCTATAAAATGTTGAATCAAGTCTATATACCATACAAAGAAAGATCATTGAGTTGACAACAGGAGAGCACTTTTAAAGGTAATTCTGCCACTAACCAGCTATGTGACTTTGAACAAATCACTTCACTTAGATGGGCTTCAATTTCCTTTTCTGTAAAATGAAAGAATAGAATGAATCAATGCTCTCAAGAGGACTCTTCTGTGCTGAAACTCCATGTATATGATGCCTTACACTGTGCCCTTGGAGACAGGAAGAAGCTAGGTCCAGAGTCTCATCTCTTCCCACAAAGGCACAGAGAGTTAAACATTTAAATGACTCCATGAATGTATGATGGAGAGAAAAACTGGGAAACATGTGTCCTCCTGACTTTAGGGTCTGAAGAAAACACAGTACTATTGTTATAAGGTCTCACCATCTTTACACTGCAGTTTCATAAGAAGTGCAAACAGATAAACAAAGGAGGTTTGAGAAGGGCAACCGTTTCAATAACTGTTCTGAGACTGTCCAAACAGAAAACACATGCTATTTCCCCTCAGCCTGACCAACTTGGCATTCAGAGTACAAGCTCATAGGGGAGGGGCTGGGCCTCTCCCGGCAGGAACTGGAGTCAGAAGCTTCCCCTGCTGCTTGCTGGGAGAGGACATTCGGAATGCCTTTCAGTGCCTGGCTTCCTGAGCTATCTCACAGTAGCCAGGCAGCTTGGGACAATCTGACTGCATCTTCACCTTCAGCCCTGCAGGAATCTGGATGCAGGCCAAATACAGCAGCTCGAGAGACATGCTGGATGAGGATGGGGATACCACCATGAGCCTGTATTCTCAAGCCTCAACTATCACCCGGCAGCTAGAGCCCAGGCAAGCAGGTATTCTCGTCTCCTGGAGTTCAAGCAGACAGAGCTTTGAAAAACGTATTTGATGAGGTACCTCTCTTAGGAATATACAAAGTGGAGGGAAGAGGAAATATTTTCAAGATTTGCAGTGCTAAGTAACTCTGCACTTTCCGGAACTGAACGTGCCACATATAAACAACTGAAAAAAAAAAAAACTTAGTCTCCACACAGGTGTTTTGTTTTCTGAAATCCTATTAGCACAGTGGTTTGCAGTTGAGGGGTTGTCAAATTTTCTGAGAAGGAATAGCATACAAAGGTCAAACTGTATGCATATTAAAGCAACATCCCCTCCCCTTTTTCTTCCAATGAAGACCAAATCAAGTGTTGCTTTTTCTTTTTTTATTTTTTACCATCTGTGATCTGATTTGGAAATTTAGATAAATGAAAGCTAGTGTTGAACTCATGGCTTTAAAAGGAAGATTTCCAAATGAACCAATTAACCCTGGTATTTTGTAATAATAATTTTGCATTTTGAAGCTGCAAGATCTTGGGAAGAGTCATGACAACATCAGGTGTTTGGTTTTACTCTCTGTGAAATGAGGGATGATTAAAACAAATGCTTTCTGAGGCATCCCCTTAGCTCTAAATTCCATGATTTGATAATTTAAATAGTGGCCTCTGATTTCAATTACTCCAATCCCTATTTTCACTCAACTCTATTGATCTTAGAATATTATTGAGAAGGTTTATCAGAGTAAGAAAATATTTCATTTTAGTTGCATATGACTTCTATCTTATCATTTTATTTATAACCATTCATCCTATGATACAGTAATACAAAATTTTCAGTTCCATTGATTTTCATAGTTCACGTACATTATTCCCTTGACTACTAAGCCATCTAAAGCAGAACTGACTTTATTCTAGAGAAGAGCTCACATGGTACTGTACATAGGACTAGGTTCTTGGTTCTACTGTGAGCTATGCCATTACCATTTTTGTGATCATGAACACAGTACTTAAGTGTTCTGATCTTCAAGTTTATTTAAAAAACATCAATGATAGTAGATGGGTATTCAGTGCTTATGCTGTGTCTGGTATTGTTTTAAGTATTTTATGCATATAAGTTCATGTTAAATTTAACTAACATTAAACAGAAGTGGCAAAACCTTCCATAAAGTGGCCATGAATACTTAGAGGTAAATGATGTAAAGTACTTGATATATCACAGACACTTCAAAAATGTGAACTTCCTTTTGATATTTAATACTTTGAGAATCCCTAAAGTGTTCTGTTTAACATTTTAGTGTCAGTCTGCATCAGAGAGATCCTTATTTGATGCTTGTATCTTAACATGTCATTTCCCTTCTGACCATATCCAGGTTTTTCTCACATCTGTAAATCAGGTCAGAGCCTTTTTCACTGTTTTTTTTTTTGTTGTTGTTACTTTTCTCTTTAGTTTTTTTCCCCCTTCCCTACATTAAACCGTTACATTCACTTTCTATGCATAAATGACCCTCCACCTGAGTCCCACTGATAACGGCTTTTTGTTTTTCAACTAAACTATTCAGTAAGCTGTCAGGGAACATTGGGGGATTTCCAGTCTCCTTGACCTAAAGCTAAGTGGCAACAGGAGAGATGTGGTTTCTGTAGCCACAGGATGTGTGTAATAGGATACTAAATGCTTTTCTTCTACAAATGTTATGAAGAATCAGTTCTTAGGGTTTTGGTTTTGAGCAGCTTGTGTTTAACAACATTTTCCACCTCTGACTGGAGCCAGGAACTCTCACAAGGATTAGTGATCAGCATAAGCAGGAACAGTGTGTACAAATAAGTTCTGTTAAGGTTGGAGGATGGAGAGAGGGGTGTAGCAAGATAAAACACAAATGCAGCATTTGGCAGTCTCTTTGTAAGAAATGGAAATCAGAACAGTTAGGAGCGGAGATTACAAAGAAATATCTTGGAGGCAAACATCTGGAAATAGTTACCTTAGCCTACATAAATGATATCTTGTTTTCATGTTCTTGTGATAATGCAAATATTTGGAAGAAAGTCACTATGAAAGTCTCTTAAGAAAATATATCTGATATAACTTTGTGTTAAAAACAATGGCAATGATAACTCTTGAAAAATTTTTTTTGGCAACATAGAATATTCAAAGTCAATATAATGCTGTGGCAAAATTGTGAATTGGCACATATATTTATTGTACAGATTTTTATTTTCTCATTAAAAATCATAAATCTCAATCATGTTTATGCTAAAAATACCAACAAAATAGAAAGTAAAAATGAAACCCCTCACACATTTTCCATAAACGTATGTTTAGGGTACTGTTGTATCAGGCAATTGCAAAGTACTGAGGATACAATGTCAAATGTGATATAATCCCAGCTTAGTCTAATACCATTCTCAGCTAAGCTACAATTATAATGGCATGCTGTGGTGGAAGCATGTACTGGGTACAAATGACTGTCTGACTTCTCTGATAGGGATAAAGGAGATCAGGAATGACTTGAGAGAGGGAGTGAGCATTGCATCGAGTTGACATTAGGATGTTCCATGTGATGAGGAATCAGGAGGGGGGGTTCAGGGTTGGGGACCCTACAGGAAAAGATACATGTAAAGTTGGAGGGGGAGACTGGTGAAAGGAAAGTCTGGTAAGTTAGGACTTTTAGGTCCTACTAAGGTGTTTAAATTCCATCAATTGTTAAAATGAATTCAATGAAGGATTTAAACATAAAATGTGCTCTTAGAAGTTCCTCTAGGCTAAAATGAAGAGGACGAACTGAAGGAATATAGAACTGGATAAGCTGACACCCAGTGTTTTCACTGGTCTGGGTAGATTAGAATCCTGAATTGAGGTAGTAGGGTAAGAAGGAGGAAGAGGAATCAGATATGAGAGATGTTGAGGAGAAAGAGCTTAAAGACTGGTGTTCAGTTGCATGTAAGAAGTCGACCTATAATTGCATCAACTGTAGGTTGGCTAAAGTCTGTCAGATATTCTATGGAGAGGGCCAGAAACTTTAGGAGGAACAGAAAAAGTAATAAATTCAGTCTGACTTTAAGGTAGTCTGGTTGGAGGCAAGATATGCCATTTGTGGTTGTCCAAAGACATTGGTATGTGAAGGATGTGGGCTTGTGGTAAGAATTCTGAGCTACACATATATGTAGAAATTACCGGCATAGTAAATAAACAAACAAGTGCTTAAGCAATGAAGTAAAATAAATAGTACTTAAATTTATGGGAGTGAGTGAGATCACACAGGGAGGGAGGGAATGTAAAATGAAAAGACAACAGAACAGAAGAATAGTGACAAGGAGAGGAGCTTGGGGAATAGCTACAACTGAAGGACAGGAAGAACAAGAGGATCCAATAGGAACTTCTAGGACTAAGAAGTAGAGAGGGGTGGAGTATGGAGCTGGGGGGGAGAGAGAGGCATCGAGGAAGGCAGGAAATAGTAAATTCAAAAGTAATGGGAAAGCCAAGGACACTGAGTAGTAATTGATGAATTATTATAGGAATGAGCGAAGGCTTTTTAAAATTACTTTTTAAGGTGCGAGAGATTCTAATTTAATCATAGATTGAAAAGAAGCATAGGAGACTAACTTCACATTAACATGTTGACGAGAGAGTAAAGTGACAGATGGACAAAGATTCTAGCTAAAAACTAAACGTTATCCTAGCAAAAACAGTAAAAAAAAAATTAAAACAACACTTAATATTAAATTCAATTCCTACTTTTTTCCTACTCATATTAATTACAATATTATTGCATTTTCCTCTAGCTTTTACTTTTGTTTCCTTAACTACAGTATAAACCCCTCATGCAGCGGTGTGGCACGAATCACACCCCATTGATTCAACAAATCTTTGAAGCACATCCACTGAATACTAAACATTATGGTAGGCTCTGGAAAGGCCTTGATTTTGAGGCACTTAGAAAAGTGGGAGGAATAATTGGAATCAATCATTCTAATACAATGTCATTTAGGGCTACTGAATGCATACCAGAGGCATAGAAGCCACATAGGAATGAATGTGTTACTGACTGTGTCTAGTTTTGCATCTTCTTAGATAAGGAGACAGGTGCTCTGAATCTGGAAGGCTCAGTCCAAGTTTTCTAAACAAAGCAAAATGTGGCACTTGGTCACTTTTCCCTAGCAAGGACCACAGTGCAAAGATCCACCATCAGAGAGGCAGGCACTAGCCTGGTGTACATGCCAGAGATACAACCTTTAAGGAATAAAATTAAGAGGCAAGAGTTCAGAGGAAACGATGAGGTGCCAATTCTGTATTAAATTTTAGATAAGGATAATTTGGGGGAATCACAAAATCTTGTAATGTGGCTTTTTGCAAATTATTGAAATTCTCTTTGTTTTCCAGCTGTTAAGACCCTTTATAGTTCAGAGAAAGAGAACATTTTGTGTATTGTCTGCTTAATTTCTTGCAGGCCCTGGGCTTGGAGAAGTGTAAAGGTTTCTCTCTCTGTCACCTGATAAAGGGTCACTGGTCAAATATGACAACTCCCTTTATCCATAAAATTTCATATAATGACAAAGGAGTTTGTACTCAAAACTTGACCCTGACACTGTAGCCTTTTATAGTATGGTTATAGTAAGAGGATACAGGAAAGGAGTGTTTTTTTTTTCTATATATATCTTATTATTCCTAGGGATGTTTATATCATTCCTTGGCCTGTCCACACCTCTTTCTAAACATGCCTCAGGAGACAGTGTAGGGATTCTCGTCCAAAAAATAAAACCACATTAAAGCCAAACCAAACTCATGCACCTCCTGGCTTATTTTTGTGAAAATCTCTCTCTTTATTTTAGGGTGGGAGTGGTCCCTAGAGAGAGGCTTCAGCATGATTAGGAACACTTGAGATAAAACTCAGGAACATTGGACTAACAGAAGAAAAACATTAGAGGGGAAAACAGCTTTGAAGGAAAAATGAAACGTTCAAGTTCATGGTCTTTCCATCATGGAAGCTTGGTTTCCTAGGACATGACCATGATTGGTGTAGAAACACCCCAAGGTAAGATTTCTCTGGGTCTTTAGATAAAACAGGGATGTATTATGAATATTGAGGAGGAAAGAAAGATTTCAAATGCAAAACTTGATCAGGTAAAGATGATTCCTTGGAAGGGATTTTTAAAAAACTGGTTCTTAGCAGAAGACATGTTATACTTTATTTTTCTATCCTAGAGGCAATTTCAGGAAGGATCATGTATTTGTTCTTTTCATGGATATATTATTAAATAATGCTCTAATATCTAAAGTCAAGGCTCTGACATTATTGTAAAGATTTAAGTTTACTCTTTTTGGTTCATTAGGCAGAAAATCAACACTTCCCTTGTCCATAATATTATCCAAGGGAAAGCATAAAAAATTTGGTTGATTTTTATAGTTCTTCTCCTTTCCTTTTTTTTTTTAAAATTTCTAGTTTTGTCCTGGGAAATATTATTCATAAAAAGGGATATAATTTTTAATTTTTATGACTTTGAGATATATATTCATAATAAGGTTTAGTAGGGGTATCCAGGCATATTATAGAGATACAGAATAGACATTCATTAATTCACTGAACATTATTTGAGCTATTTCAATTATTGGTCTAGTTGCCAGACTGCAATAGTGGCTATTTAAATTTTAATCTTTTCCAAGAAAGAGTTTACTTTAAAAAAAATGTTTACCTTTATTTTATTTATTTATATGGTGCTGAGGATCAAACCCAGTGCCCCATGCAGGTGAGGCAAGCGCTCTACCACAGAGCCATAACCCTAGCCCAAGAATTTACTTTCTCGTGGGGTAAGATAGATACAAAACAAAAGAAATAAATGAGTCATATATCTTTAAAGGTAATAAGAAATATGAAGGAAAAAAACATGAAGCACTTGGTACATCTGGAAGCTAGGAACATACATTTATTTTAGGGTGGGAGTGGTCCCCAGAGAGAGGCTTCAGCATGATTAGGAACACTTGAGATAAAATAAAATTTCTTGGACTATATTTAATTTAAAAATGTTTAGGGTTTTAGAGACATTTGGCCTAAGCTATGTTCTGCTTCTGATCTTGTTTTTTTTTTTTTTTCCCATTCTTTGAGCTGAAATTCTCTTAAAGTCAATGCCCTGAAGAAAGCATACTTTTCTAGGAAAATGTAGAATAAACCATATAGGTCAGCTGGTTGAAGGGCACCCAGAGGAAGTGCATCTTTTATATTTGTTCAGGACATAGAATCTCATGCAAGTCACTGTATAGAAACCTATAGGATTGGGACTTATATTTTGCTGACTCTGCCCTCTGCTGACAGAAATATTGCTAAAAAATAGCTTTTTGAAAATCAAGCTGTCAAATTTAACTTTAGATAATACTCTCTTCTTCTGTATACTTACATAGTTTAGGGGCTATTTTTTCATTATTTCATTCTTTTTTCAATCTAAACACCAAATATTTACTACCTTTATGGGATATATTCTAGTTTCAATATTGGAAATAATTAGTGAACAAGACAGATGAGATGGTTTTTTTAATGGAATGCATATTTGGAGGAAAGGGAGACAGACAAAAACCAACCTGACATGAAAATGTTACCTAATATTTTATTAAACACACACACACACACACACACACACACAACAAGGTGAGTACTGTACTAGAGATGGAGTCAGCCCCTCTTCTAGGGATGTGCCATTTACACTGAAAGCAGAGGAACAAGCAATAGGCTGCCAAGAATCAATCTGAGGAAGAACTAATGCAGTGGCAGAGGCTAGTGTAGCAGGAGGTACAAAGACAGGGGCAAGCTCATTCAGACCAAGAATAGAAGAGAAGGCTACCAGGAATAGTGCATTTGAGAAAGGGGAGAATGGTTTAGAAAAGAATAAAAGAACTAGGTAGGGTCTAGATGAAAAGACTGTATTGTAGGATTTTTGTTCCAAGTGCAATAAAACTATTAGAAGTTTTTAAGTCAGGAAATATTGTAATAAAATTGCCGTTTTTTTTTTTTTAAAGAGCAAACTGTAAAAAGTGATTTGCATTTTCAAAATATAATTCAAGCTATTTATGAAGAATACAAATATGAAGAGAGAATAAGATTCACGCTTTAAAATACAGCATGTTAGCAGTCAGAGAAATGCAAATCAAAACCACCCTAAGATACCATCTCACTCCAGTAAGATTGGCAGCCATTATGAAGCCAAACAACAACAAGTGCTGGCGAGGATGTGGGGAAAAGGGTACACTTGTACATTGCTGGTGGGACTGCAAATTGGTGCAGCCAATTTGGAAAGCAGTATGGAGATTTCTTGGAAAGCTGGGAATGGAACCACCATTTGACCCAGCTATTCGCCTTCTCGGTCTATTCCCTAAAGACCTAAAAAGAGCATGCTACAGGGACACTGCTACATCGATGTTCATAGCAGCACAATTCACAATAGCAAGACTGTGGAACCAACCTAGATGCCCTTCAATAGACGAATGGATTAAAAAAAAAATGTGGCATTTATACACAATGGAGTATTACTCTGCATTAAAAAATGACAAAATCATAGAATTTGCAGGGAAATGGGAGCAGATTATGCTAAGTGAAGCTAGCCAATCCCTAAAAAACAAATGCCAAATGTCTTCTTTGATATAAGGAGAGTAACTAAGAACAGAGTAGGGACGAAGAGCATGAGAAGAAGATTAACATTAAACAGGGATGAGAGGTGGGAGGGAAAGGGAGAGAGAAGGGAAATTGCATGGAAATGGAAGGAGACCCTCAGGGTTATACAAAATTACATACAAGAGGAAGTGAGGGGAAAGGGAAAAAATAATACAAGGGTAGAAATGAATGACTGTAGAGGGGGTAGAGAGAGAAGAGGGGAGGGGAGGGGAGGGGAGGGGGGATAGTAGAGGATAGGAAAGGCAGCAGAATACAACAGACACTAGTATGGCAATATGTAAATCAGTGGATGTGTAACTGATGTAATTCTGCAATCTGTATACGGGGTAAAAATGGGAGTTCATAACCCACTTGAATCAAAGTGTGAAATATGATATATCAAGAACTATGTAATGTTTTGAACAACCAACAATAAAAATTAAAAAAAAAATAAAATACAGCATGTCTTTTCTGTGATGTAAATATTTTCCTTCGTAGATTTTAAGAGATTAGTAATTGTATTTCCTATTTCTAAACAGTCTTTACCACTTATCTTTCTCACTTTGGAAATAATGTTTAGTGCAAATCTTTGTGCCTAGAATGTTTTATATAGAGGATCTTGTTAGATGGAAATGAATTTGTGTTTCTTTAGTCTTTCTGTTTTAGAACCTGAGTTGAATTCTCAATGAAGTAGAACTCAGAGATCACAAAAAGGTCAGAGTTTGAGGGTTTTCTTCTCCTTTTGTTTAATTTGACTCAGAATTCCAGATGCCAACTCCCTCTGAGTTGAAGTCCTCCCTGATAGAGCTGTGATCATTCAGACCCACATAGATGACTTCACTAGGTGATAGGTCTACTCAGGACTTACATTGGCACTTCTGTAATTACAAGTCAAACTTCTAGAAATGGAAGCAGGGAATTTTCTCTTCTCCCCCTCCCCCTCTTCCTTTTTCTCCTCTTCCTCCTCTTCTTCCTCTCCCTCCTCCTCCTCCTCCTCCATTATTACTTACCTCCTGTAAAACTTGAGATAGTTCAGATCTGTCTTTGAGAAATTTGATAATTGTGTTTCTGTATACTCTATTTTAGAGGAAATATAAATGAAATGAATGAATAAAAAACATCCTTGCAAAAGAAGGACCAAGAAACCCCAAAGAAAAAGTGTAAAATGGTCATTTCTCATTACTGATATGTAATTTTTGCTTTTCAGAAGAAAGATACATGTGACATGTTGGGGGAGTCACATATTGCTGAAGTAAAATTAAATTAGTTTCATATGCACCTTGATGATGTTAAAAATTGTTCTTTAGTAGCTTCAGGTGTCTCAAACTCTGTTTCAGGCATTTTTTAGGAGAATTTTTCATCATTAAAATTTTGACAAGCAGGAGGTTATAAAAACAACCACGTAAAGATAACAGTTGTATATACTGTGATTTGGAGCACAGTAGGACTTGGGGGAGGATAGGAAAGGGTGGGACTTGTGAACAACTCTAGCTGTGAAAACTGAGGTTTAACTGAGCCTTGTGACCATGTTTCTGAGGACAAAGGGTAAGTTGTCTAGACCTGATGACCAGGTCCTGCATGGTTTTTCCTGTCCAGAACCACCTCCTCCTACTTGCTGGTTGCTGACTTAGATGGAAGAAGAGGAGAAGCTAAACCTTTCTTTCTCTTTTGTTCCCTACAGAGCAAAGGACTACCACTTCAGCTTGGCGCCCAGTGGCCCTCACACTACTGACTTTGTGCTTGGTGCTGCTCCTAGGCCTGGCAGCCCTGGGCTTTGTGTGTAAGTCTGGGCTCTGCCTTGGGGGAGGATCCTGGTTCCATGATCTCTCTAGGTGAAACACGGAACACTTGTTATGAATTTTTAAACTTTTAATTCTGGATCTTAGGGGGCAATTCAATGCTCCTTTTCTAATAGCAACCATTTAAAGATCAGTGGGGGAAGAAGTATTAAAATAGAACTATCATTTGCTAACTAGAATTAAACATTCTGTTTCAGTTCAGGATTTTGTATGCTTATATGTCAATATTTAAAACAATGACTTCATCTCTCTCCTGTTCCACAAGAGTGGGTTGGCAGTGGCTTTTGCTTTCAGTGTGTATGTCTCAGTGGGCTAGAGCAAAGGAAAGAGATTTTATTTATGTTTATATTCTCAATACAAGGAAAATAGTTAAGGCCCTTAATCACTATATTTTCTATTAAGAAGACATTTTGCAAAAACTTGTGAAAAATCAAACACAGAAGAATGCATGTGTGAAAATCTTTACATTTAAATGAACAAGGACAAGTTCCTTAAAAAATAAAGTGGATAAATTTGCCTCATCAAGTTAAGATCCTGCAGTCATGTTCCCTGAACAGCTGAAGGTGATTCAAAGCAAAAGGTCATGAAAACAAGCAGATGTGTCAAAAAGTTGACTTTTATAGTAAAATTTAAAAAATTTGTTTATGATCTTAAATGTTTTTTATTTATATATGACAGCGAATGCATTACAATTCTTATTACACATATACACCACAACTTTTCATATCTCTGGCTGTATAAACAGTATATTCACACCAATTCATGTCTTCATACCTGTACTTGGGATAATAATGATCATCACTTTCCACCATCATTAATAACCCTATGCCCCCTCCTTCCCCTCCAGCCCCTCTGCCCTATCTAGAGTTTGTCTATTCCTCCCATGCTCCCCCGCTCCCTATCCCACTATGAATCAGCCTCCTTATATCAAAGAAAACATTCATCATTTGGTTTTTTGGGATTGGCTAACTTCACTTAGCATTATATTCTCTAACTACATCTATTTACCTAAAATGCCATGATTTTATTCTCTTTTATTGCTCAATAATATTCCATTGTGTATATATGCCACATTTTTTTTTTCATCCATTCAACTATTGAAGAGTATCTAGGTTGGTTCCATAGTTTAGCTATTGTGAATTGTGCTGCTTTAAACATTGATGTGGCTGTGTCCCTTTAGTATGCTGTTTTTAAGTCCTTTGGGTAGAGACCGAGAAGAGGAATAGCTGGGTCAAATGGTGGTTCTATTCCCAATTTTCCAAGAAATCTCCATACTGCTTTCCATATTGGCTGCACCAATTTACAGTCCCACCAGCAATAAGTGTACCTTTTCCCCCACATCCTCGCCAACACTTATTGTTGTTTGTATGCATAATAGCTGCCATTCTGACTGGAGTGAGATGAAATCCTGGAGTGGTTTTGATTTGCATTTCTCTAATTGCTAGTGATGATGAACATTTTTTCATGTATTTGTTGATTGATTGTACATCATCTTCTGAGAACTGCCTTTTCAGAACCTTGGCCCATATTGATTGGGTTATTTGTGTTTTTTTGGTGTTTAGCTTTTTGAGTTCTTTATATACCCTAGAGATAGCACTCTATCTGATGTGTGAGGGGTAAAGATTTGCTCCCAAGATGCAGGCTCTCTATTCACCTCACAGACTGTTTCTTTTGCTGGTAAGAAACTTTTTAGTTTGAGTCCATCCCATTTATTGATTCTTGATTTTAATTCTTGCACCACAGGAGTCTTACTAAGGAAGCTGGGGCCTAAAAGTTCCACCAGAAAATTTCTAGAACTAGTAAATGAACTCAGCAAAGTAGCAGGTATAAAATCAACACCTATAAATCAAACGCATTTTTGTATATCAATGACAAATCCTCAGAAAGGGAAATGAGGGAAACTACCCCATTTTCAATAGTCTCAAAAAAAAAAACAACACTTGGGAGTCAACTTAATGAAAGAGATGAAAGATCTTTATAATGAAAATTACAGAACCCTAAAGAAAGAAATCAAAGAAGACCTTAGAAGATGGAAAGATCTACCTTGCTCTTGGATAGGCAGAATTAATATTATCAAAATGACCATACTACCAAAAGCACTATACAGATTTAATGCAATTCCAATCAAAATACCAATGGCATTCCTTATAGAAATAGGAAAAGCAATCATGAAATTCATCTGGAAAAATAAGAGACCCAGAATAGCTAAAGCAATCCTTAGCAGGAAGAATGAAGCAGGTGGCATCACTATACCAGATCTTAAACTATACTACAGAGCAATAGTAACAAAAACAGCATGGTATTGGCACCACAGCAGACTGGTAGACCAATGGTACAGAACAGAGGACACAGAGACTAACCCACAAAACTACAGGTATCTTATATTAGACAAAGGTGTGAAGAACATGCATTGGAGAAAGATAGCCTATTCAACAAATGATGCTGGGAAAACTGGAAATCCACATGCAACAAAATAAAATTAAATCCCTATCTCTCACCATGCACAAAACTCAACTCAAAATGGATCAAGGACTTGGAATACAACAGAGACCCTGTTTCTATAGAAGAGAAAGTAGGCCCTAATCTCCATCATGTGGGATTAGGCCCCAACTTCCCTAATAAGACTCCTGTGGTGCAAGAATTAAAATCAAGAATCGATAAATGGGATGGACTCAAACTAAAAAGTTTCTTATCAGCAAAAGAAACAATCTTTGAGGTGAATACAGAGCCTACATCTCGGGAGCAAATATTTACCTCTCACACATCTGATAGAGCACTAATCTCTAGGGTATATAAAGAACTTAAAAAGCTAAACACCAAAAAGACAAATAACCCAATCAATAAATGGGCCAGGGTTCTGAAGAGACACTTCTCAGAAGATGATGTACAATCAATCAACACATATGTGATCTTAAATTTAAAAGTAAAAAAACTTCTTGTTTCTCCCTAAATCCAAAATTTGTATGATATAACTTTTAGTTTGCAATCACCATCACTCTTAGGAATATAAAGCAACTCTCATGATTCATAAGGGATTTCTCTATTTAGATTTAGAAAACCAAAGTTCAAACCTGCATTAAAATTTTATAGTTAAATTTTATTAGGGAAGTTTGTTGATCCCATTGATAATAATCATAAATCAATAAAAATATGGAAATGATAATTGACCATTTTAATAATCAGACAAACAAAAATATATGGAATATTGCCACTATTTAATGTAATGATCTATAGGTAAATGAATCGTGGTTTTAGATTGAGTAATCATTTGCATGAACAGAAACATATCTATTCAGTAGTAAAATAGTTTGAGAATTTACTTCTGAAGCTAGAAACTGTTATCATGACTCCACATTTTCAGAAAGACTTAGAGAAATTAATTTGTGCAGTATGATACAATTTGTTATGTATGTACTAGAGTCTCTACTTGGATATATGCAATGTGAGATCTCAGAACCTAAGATCTTAACTTATATACATGTTGCCTTCATCTTAAGTGGAAATTAGAAGTAAAATGAAGAAATGAACTGTCCAGTCTGACCTAGCCACTTGGGTTAGTTTTTCAGTTCTATCAGCTATCCAGTACTCAGCAAGACAGCATTTCTGAAAAGGAAGAAAGGTTGGCGAATCTCTCTCAACATCTGCAGTCTGTCCAAGCCCAGAATAGGAAGCTTGCAGAAACCCTGCAGCATGTGGCTGAAAAACTCTGTCGTGAGCTTTATAACAAAAGTGGAGGTAAGCAGGTCTTTATCACTCTGCCCCCAGGATATTATCTGTCAATCTAAGTTGAATTTCTTATTAACATAACTGGGAACCAGTATTATTTAATTAGTTTTCTGGAAAACTTGATAAGGAATTTGGATTGCAAGACCATGATAAGTTTAGGGGGTCATGCAGTCCATACATGTTTGTGTTACTGTGTATGAAAGAATTCTTTAAATGCAACACTTAAAACAATAATAAAGCAATTAGTTTGGAATAGCTAACATAACATTACAAGTAAATAAAATGGAAATGTTTCAATTTACCTTGTCCCATAATTGAAAAATCATCCCTATTATAAGTCAATAAACTCATAATTTAAGAATCATAGAAGGATCAGATAAAGAAGGCAGATAACCTAAATCAAATCTGTTATTTTAATTCCATATGATTTGACTGATACCGAAAAAAATGTACATTTTAAGAAGTACCCTAGGAGACATCAATGTCAATGATAGGTGTACCACAGTTGTATAAATAAAAATAGTGTTGGAGAAGTCAGTGAGGGTGTGTGTGTGTGAGAGAGAGAGAGAGAGATGGGGGGGAGAGTGAGAGAGAGTGAGAGAGGGAGACTCTTTCCTGTCCTATTTGTATTTCATTATCCATTTTATTCAAGTCAGTCCTCTCTTCTGGCTCTCTTTTTGTTTGAATTTTTAAATTTAATTTTTATTCTAATTTGTTATATATGACAGCAGAATGCATTACAATTTGTATTATACATGTAGAGCACAATTTTTCATATCTCTGGTTTTATACAAAGTATATTCACACCATTTGTGTCTTCATACAGGTACTTAGGGTAATGATGTCCATTTCATTCCACCATCTTTTCTATCCCCATGCCCCCTTCCTTCCTGTCCCACCCCTTTGCCCTAGCTAGAGTTTGTCTAATCCTCCCATATTCCCCCTCCCAAACCCACTATGAATCACCTTCCTTATATCAGAGAAAACATTCAGCAATTGGTTTTTTGGAATTGGCTAACTTCAATTGACATTATATTCTTTAACTCCATCCATTTATCTGCAAGTCCCATGATTTTATTCTCTTTTATTGATGAGTAATATTCCATTGTGTATATATAACACATTTTTTAATCCATTTATCTACTTCAGGGCATCTAGGTTGGTTCCACAATTTAGCTATTGTGAATTGTGTTGCTGTAAACATTGATGTGGCTGTGTCCCTGTAGTATGCCCTGACTTCCTTAATAAGACTCCTATAGTGCAAGAATTAAAATCAAGAATCAATAAATGGGATGGATTCAAACTAAAAAGCTTCTTCTCAGCAAAAGAAACAATCAGTGAGGTAAAGATAGAGCCTACAGAATGGAAGCAAATTTTTACCACAAGTACATCAGATAGAGCACTAATCTCTAGGGTACATAAAGAACTCAAAAAGCGAAACACCAAAAGAACAAATAACCTAGGATGTGGGGGAAAAGGCACACTCATACACTGCTGGTGGAACTGCAAACTGGTGCAGCCAATATAGAAAGCAGTATGGAGATTCCTTGGAAAACTGGGAATGGAATTACCATTTGACTCAGCTACCCACTCCTCGGTCTATATCTTCTGCTCTCTTTAACATATATACCTAAGAAGAAATATGTATTATCAATTTTTCAGTTTTTATTTATCTTTTGGGAACTCTAAAACAGGACAAAAATCTCAGACTTCCAGACATACACTACTTCACACCCTAAGCAGACATCTTGATTATATAATCACCCAATAATATGAATAGGCATAAACAAATACTATGAATAGGCATACTTCCACTTCTCTAAATGATTTTTATTCTCATGAATACTGATTTCACTGGTCATGTTATTCTTTCTTATTTTTCTAACAGCCCAGTGGGCATACTTTTCTTTGTTCGGTGCCCTATCTCAGCAAAAAGAGAATCCAGGTTTCTCTATAATTTTTATCTAGCTATATTAAAAAAAAAATAAAAAGAAAAGCTAGGCAAATAAACCACATTTAGTTTAAATATAAAATTGACATCCCAAAGTTAGGAACTAGGAAAAATGCTGTCTTGAGAGTTGAATATATGAAAAATAAAGTTTGGGTCTGAACCACCTATATAAACTTGCATTCCTGGGTCCAAGTCCTAGGTAAAATAAAGGAGAAACAGAAATAAAAAGGACTATAAGGAAAAAAATTGATAAGACTATGTTTGATGATATATTTTTAGGTTTTTATAAAACTGAATGTCCTTCCTAAGAATATTAGCCTTGGTAATATTTACATTCTTGCTTCACTGATCATGAACAATGTTAAATTTTTATCACTTTATTTCACACACACACACACATAATTTATAGATGAGGAGAGTTCACAGAAATCACACATGTTCATCTTAGGAATCCAATGGTGTTTGTAATTTCCCTAGTCATACAGCCATGAATAAAATAGTTGAAAACAATCCATGTTCAGTACAGACATTAATTTCTCTCTCAAAATGTGCATTTCTCCTTAAATATATTTTCTTTCTTTCTATCTATCTATCTATCTACCTATCTAGTGTGTGTGTATATATACATATACACACCATATACATGGCGTGCATGTGTGTGTTTGTATGTATACATGCGCGTTATGTATGTGCAAGTCCAGGGAAAATTAATTACTTCTGACTCGTTCTATTTTTCTAATTTTTTAATGTAATATTAAATAAAATATTAAAGTAGGTAAAGTTATATTGGTAAAGAGGGATCTATTGCTATCACTTCAGCTGCCTAGTATTTTTATTCACATAAGGCACTATATTTGAGTCTTTCTCCTTTCCATCTAATTGTATCTTGCTTTTTTCCTATACACTCATTGAAATTACACTTTCTATCAATTCTCATAGAAATATGGAACTTTACTTGTACAGAGAAAATCACTCACCATATGTGAAGATTAAAGGTATGCAAGAAATCTTATAACTGGAAAGGGGAGTAAGATATTAATATACTGTATCAACTGTATATCAACTGTATCAGTTACAGTTTATATCTACTGAAGCTAGAGCAGACATTACAATGAGCCAATATTCTCCTTCATGTGGAGCTCAGATGCAGCTTCCTAATCTTTTCCTACAGAGTGCTCCAAGCAGGCATTACCAATCTAAATTGTCACAGTGACAGTCATGATTAGACTTGAAGCTAACATCCATTCAGCCTGTTGCATGTATAAGCTACTGTGCTAAGGAAACTATATTTTCCTATTTACACTTTACCACATTCCTTTTAGGGCCTGTGACTCTCAGGGCCTAACTCTTAAATATACCGTCAGTACCTACTGTTCCATCTAAGAACATTCAACTTGTGTACTTACTTCTTTGGCATGGATGCCAATCTTAATTTTTGATACATGGAAATTTACCTTTCTAACTTCAAGGCTTGTCTCAGCATTTTTTCCCCTAAAATTTTATTTGTGTTTACAGTAAGAGCCCATCTCACATTGGTATACATTGTATTTTTTTAAAACCCCTTTGTCATAAGAATATGATTTTGAGAAAGAAAATTATGATCCTTTGTTTATTGAATATAATGCATTGTGCATTTCTGAACATATGAGCAGCTTCATGAATTGATTTTACTCTCCATGTGCTACTTTGCATAGCCAAGACACAAGGAAGTTTCCATCTAGACAAGGAAGTTTTCATTACTAGATTCTACACTCCATTAAGAGCGTCTATTTTAATTTCCACTGTATAATCAGCACCAATTATAATTCCTGGCATATTGTGGCCACTCAATACAGATTTGTATTTATCATTGCCTGGGAAATTTAAATATCTGAGAGAAGGGAAATCAATTCTTATTTGGGACATAAACACTCTATAATTTCATGAGAAGAAATATAGCAAACATGAGTAGAAAACTTACAAATATTTTTCTTCTCTCAAGGACACAAGTGCAACCCATGCCCAGAAAAATGGAGGTGGCATGGGGACCAATGCTACCAATTCTATAAAGAGAGTAAAAGTTGGCAGGGCTGTGAATATTTCTGCACTGGTGAGAATGCCACCATGCTGAAGATAAACACACAAGAAGTGCTGGTAAGGCCCTGGATCTTTTCAATGTTTGAAGAATTCTTAAGAAGAGGCCTTGAAAGAGCTGGCCAAGAAAATTCAGAGGAGTGAATGATATTGACTCACAAATGTTCCCACTTACTCTGATCAAGGACTCTGTCTTATTCCTATTGCTTTGCATGATTCCCTCAACTACATAAAAAGGAGCTCCATTCTTCATAAATGCTTACTCCACAGAAACCACCCCTCAGCCAGGGAATAGATGGAGAATGCCTTAATTTTTTTTAACCTCTTTTAGTTTGGGTAAGAAGAGAAGAGTGTTTACACAATATCAGAAAGATGAAAATACCACTGACTGTACTTGATTTATGAGTGGCAAATATTTAATTAAATCATTACCATGATCCACAAATGTATATCTTGCTTTCCAGAACATTGGTCAAGACAAATATGAAAATCACCCTACAAATTGACACATTTTGAATAAGTGCACTTTTAAAATGATGTAATTATTCCCCTCCCCCACTTCTTTCCACATTCATTATTGCTTTTGGATTGAATTCGTTCATCAATGTGATCATGTGATAACTTGTTTATCTTTCTCTATAATTGAGCAGTGGTCTTGATGCAGAGCAGATTGTCAACATATGGCTTTTTAATTAAATGTCCAGCTTTATATACAAAGTTTTAACATCCTTCCAGTCACATATTAATTTCTGTCCACTTCCTGAAATCTGTATGAATGAACCTTTGTAATACCTTTATTTAATATCTTTTACCCTCTATGGCTCCATTTATGCATAGAGGAAGGCAATTTCTTTCTTTCTGTGTTTTTTTTTTTGGGGGGGGGGGTGGTAACTAGGAATTGAATGTACCCAGAGGCACTTAACCCCTAAGCCACACCCCCAGCCCTTTTTATTTTTTTGAGACAGGGTATCCCTAAGTTGCCTAGGGCCTCACTAAATTGCTGAGACTTTGAACTTGTGATCCTCCTGCCTCAGCCTCCTGAACCGCTCGCTGGGATTATAGGTGTGTGCCTCTGCATCCAGCCCAATTTCTTTTACTAACATAATATGTCCTGGCAAAAACATTTTCTTATTATATTTGTTTGCTTTACCTCCAGCCCATACTGAAGACTCAGTTATATAATTAAACTGTACTATATGGAATGGTAGGAAATTTTGCTATGAAAGTTACAAAGTTATTTTCTTTTATGCACTTTATAAATTTGTATATGTTTAAATCGCTTACACATGATTTATTTTCAGAAGTTTTAATTTAAAGTGATACCATTTAATTTGGAGAAAATATGTTCAAATACAGTTCTTTTCACATGACTACTGTGTGACCATCACTTTGCAATAGTTTCCCTGATATTTCCTATGATCTCTTGTTGAATCAGCATGTACCACTAATTATCTGAGGCATTGAGAGTAGAACAATTGCTAAAACTAAGTATTTATCCCTAAAGAGTTTATAATATGTTGGAAAGGAAAGACATAAATGGATGATCATAATAATTATACTATATATAATAATAATAATTATATATAATTCCCATGTTAAATATATATGAATATAGAGTGAGAGTAGATGAAAGAAAGTAAATAACTTTTTGAAATTTCAATATACATATTAGAAATATGGACATACACATGACTGTGTGTGTGTATGTAAAATTTAAAATTTCTTTGTCCCCTATAGTTTGAGACATAGGTCATCCTTCCAAGTCCATTTTTCACTTCTTTGTGCATTGAAGTATATTCACATTTATTTTCTCATACCCAGTTATTTTTTTCCCAGATGTTTATAAAGGTTTCTTTTCCATTCCTGAACTTTTCCTTTTAAAATTTTCCATTTCCCATAGTCATTCCATATCTCTTTGTAAATCTTCTTCCCACTATGTTATATCACTCTTGATGTTTCATTTTGTGTCTTAAAAACAATGGATTATGTATAAATTTTGACTGATAAAATGCTTGGTTTCAAAATATCAATATATAAAATTGCAAACTTCAACTAAAGCAAAACAAGTTCTTTAACCTGGATGAATTTCTAATGGATCTCATGACAGATACTTTTATCTCCTAATCACACCCTCATCTATGTGAGGTAGGAATTCTTTGTTGATCTCCCATGAACAGTGTTGGCTGCCCCCACACTTATTTGAAAATAAATTACAACTTCTTTAAAGCTAAAGATTTTCTTGTATGTCTTTCACAGGAGTTTGCCATGCCTCAAAGCTACTCTGAGTTTTTCTACTCTTATTGGATAGGGCTCTCCCGCAACAGCAGTGGCAAAGCCTGGCTGTGGATGGATGGAGCACCTTACTCCTTTGAACTGTAAGATTTCAGAACATATTACAGGGAAGGCATCTAACAGAAAGAGTGATGGAGTTAGCAGTTTGGTTCAACAAACATCAATCAAACATTTGTTTTCTACTGGATGCTGTGTTCACAAGATGTCCAAAGATGTGTAGAATATAATTGCTTGCTTTTGAATGGCTTATAAAACAGGGAGACACATCTATAGTGCTAGTAAAATATCAGGGGACAGTTCCTGGGCTGTTTTCAACACTGGGTATCTAGGAGTAACTGTGAATTAGATAATTAGAATGTGAGAGAAAGAAATAGAGAATCTTTTATGTGTGTGTATGCTGAAGTCCAGGAGTCCAGGTTGTAAAAGTGGGTGTATAAGGCCACAACTTGTCATACCTAGAAAAAAGGACAAAACCTAAGATTTCTTTTCTTTTTCCTCTCTCTCTCTCTCTCTCTCTCTCTCTCTCTCGTCTTAGTATAGTGAAATAGGGAGCACATTTTTAAAAAAATATGCTCACTTAGAGTAGACTTGCTGACAATATAAACAGACCATTATAAACACCAGCTTCATTTATAATGAGAAACATTTAGAAAGAAGAATGCATGAAAGTATTTGAATAGGAAAATGCAACCCTTATACCAAAATATATTACACTTAAAGCTATATCTGCTTTTCTTCCCTAAAGCTTCTCTAAAGCATTTATTCTCTCAGGAGACAGAATTGATTAATATGATCATTTGTATTTTACAGTTAAGCAAATGTATTAAAGAGACAGTAAATAAGTTTTTAAGTAGCAATAGAATCATATGATAAATTCAAATTAGAAATAGTTTTTGTTGTTCTGGGTTTCCTGCTGCATTGAAGAACAATAATCAAATTGATGGTCTGAAAATAAAGAAATAGGTGACCCCATCTTCTCAGTGAACTCATTCTGGGTGTATATTCTATAATTTTATCACCAGAGGAAGACTTTTAGGGACTTTATGGATACTTAATATCTTACTTGAAAAATAAACTGATTAACTCTTTCTTTCTTTTTTTAAGGTTTGAGATCATAATAGATGTTAGCAGCCTAAGAAGTAGGGACTGTGTGACCATCCTCAATGGAAAGGCTTTCTCAAAGGACTGTAGAGAGCTGAGACGATGTGCATGTCAGAGGATGGCAGCAAGAGTGGAGCCCGAAAATCTTCACTAGCCCACTTGAACCAGCAGATGAAGGGGACTGACCGTTCTGCTTCAGCTACCAACAAAAGAACTGAGCCAAGGGAGGCCAATGCAAGGCATATTTGAGACACTGGGAAATGGAAAATAATCAGGAAAGGCAAAATCTTCAACTGGTACTATCAGGATTCCCATTTTTCTTGTTTGGGATCACTAGCATTTCTGAATTTGGGGGTCATGCACATATTTACCAGTCACAAGAAGTCTTCATCTGTAGACCACCAACCAGTCCCAGAAACCCTTACAGTTTTTATCCACTTTCTTGACTTAGAAATAACCTTCTGGTTTTCTTCCTTCTCAACATCCAACATCATCTCCCTATTTCTATGTCTTCCTCATATGTAGAGAAGGGACACACTCACTAAAAGAGAGGAATTAAATGGAAGTCACATCCTTTGCTCCAGAGGCAAGTGGTCCAGGGGAAATTAACAGACCTTCCCATTCTGTGCTTCCAAGTGCATGACTAATTCTTTTTGTTCCTCTTCAGTTTACACTTTTCCTTTCCCAGTCTGTCAATCAAGACTGCATCTGAAACAGCTGAAATAACTCCTTTTATGAGAATCTTAACTTCTTATAAACATACCTCTGCATACCCATTAATACTCCAATAGTTGTTTCTTTTTCCTAAGAATTTCTCAAATCCCCTTTACATAGAATCACTGCCCTTGATACCCGCTTCAGAGAGATTGAAGATCAGTAAGAAAAAGAAAAAGAAAAAGAAAACAACCTCTCTTATGTGCACCAGAAATAATTTGGTATCAGTTCTTATTTTCTCCCATTTGATCCGTTTTTATACCATTCAGGTACTGAAGAGTTAATAATAATAAATATAAATAATGTAAAGTGTGTGTGATTTTAGAATGGATTTGTGATTTTGGGAAAAATTAAGCATGAAAATTCTTTTCAGAGTATGATAATAATCATTGTTTTTATTGTGCCTTACTGAGAGTTTATGAGGACTCTGCGAATTGCTTATGTGATTATTTATGGAAAAATCCAAGCCTTTGAAATACATATTATCTTCAAGGAGAAGGTTTTAATATTTTCCTAAAATGAGATATTGAAGCAAAATTATGACATCAACACGACTGGTGAGTAAACTGCTTTGCAATAGACCACATGATTTCCAGTCAGGTCATGGAAAGTGAAAGAGACTGACAAACTACAGAGCTGAATTTTAGACTGGATAAGGTCTTTCTCAAGGTGGCTGTTATGCACAATCATAACAGGGATCTCTGTGAATAAAACTGTCATGACTACTGACTTTATTGGTTATAGATTCATCAGTTTTAGGGGTTTAATATTAGAAAGGATCATCCACGAAAGATTATAACTCTTCATTTTTCAACAGTGAAAACCAGGGTGCTTTGCTTTTATCTTCAGTAAACATGTATTTCATGGGGAAATTACATTCAGTTAGCAATCATGTGATGAAAAAAACTCTTGCAGTGTTCCTTTTTGTAAGACTGTATTTGGTAAGATTGTTACTTTATCTGTACTACTTGCAGATTCTTCCTTGAGGACTCTTCTTTTAATTTTCTTCTGGTTAGCTAGCTAGGAAATGTCTTCAGTGCTGCACAAATTTTGTGTTGATATCCTGTGTCATACAGAGAGAACTGCGTTTGTGGTTAGAAAATGAGAGTTTTAGACTTATTATTCTGAATTATCTTATGGGCCAATCATTTTACTTCATGGAGCTGATTTCATTAAGTTTAAAGCAGAAATATTTATAAGTTCCTCATGATGCTACTGTTTGTCAAAATAAGGTAACTGCGAAATTAATTTCACAACCTAAATTGTAATATAAAATGGAAAGAAAATTTATAAAATATTTAAAAAGATTTAGTGATTCATTTTAAGCATAAGAGAGCACAAACATGCATAAACAACTTTCTTTGGTGAACTAAATTCATAAACAAAAAGTAGAGATAACTACTTTGAGGATATTATCAAATATTTTATATGATAAGTGCAATGTTCAATGAAAGTGGCTAATATAATATGTATATAAGAAGAAATGAGGGGCTAAGGTTGTAGCTCAGTGGTAGAGCATTTCCCTAGCATGTGTGAGGCCCTGAGTTCAATCTTCAGCACCACATAAAGATATAGAAATAAAATACAGGTATTGTGTCCATCTACAACTACCAAAAAAAATTAAAAAAAGAAATGAGAATTAGGTGTGTTGTTAAGCAACCATTATTTAAACCTTACTGCTGCAAAGAAAATCCAGTTAAAATGAAAAAGTCAAATAAATTTATGGACTAAATTATAAAGTAGGGATATAATACTCATTTAAGTATTGACTCCTGGCATTCTGTGCTCAGGGACGAATGATAATGTCTCTTTAACTGCCATTCTTTTGAAGAGTCTAGCTGCCTGAAGAGTAAAAGGTGACCAGTGTCTTCACTACCAATATTGGACCTAAAGGAGAGGTCTTTGTAGATAGTGAGGAGGAAAAAGAGAATTCTTTAGACATCCTTTCTTTCCCTGAACTATTCTTCTTCATCTTTGCCCTCAATCCCCTGGTCTAACAAAAAACACAATATTGATTGCATTATGAATGAATATTTCAGAACAAAAACATTTTGGCACAATGTTTTCTCCACACACTTAAATTTTTTTTAAGAGTAGCACATAATCACAAGATGAATTTGAAAATATGATTTGCAGAGAACAACTTTCAGTTGATAGTCAGATTGGGACCTCATCTTAATTGGTTTTTCAGCATAAGATGTTTTTCCTTCTAGGTTGTGAGTATGTAATTCTGAAGAAATTGCAGGAAAAGTCAAACAAGAACACAGCCTTTCCTGGTAGAGCTGAGTTCCCCAGGGTACACAATGAGCTATTCCTTTTCCTGAGGATATTGAACCAGTACTTAGAACTTATCAACAGGAAACAGGTCAGGAGCCCTGGAATAGCAGGAAGTTCAAGAAGGATGATGGGCAGATTTTATTTGGGGGATCCAAGAAGACTGTGAACCAAGCACAAGGGTTTAGCAGGTTGTCTCAGGAGCAGTCTTAAAATTCGGGAGTTACTTTCTCTGTAGAGAGATTCTTGTGGTTTCCAAAAGGTGCAAAAAGCAGAAAAATCTTACTTAAATGGTATATGACTTTTGTACAAGGCTCGTTTTATTAAGAGATTTTTTCAGACTCTAGGCGCACCTATTTATTATTCTACTAATTATTTCAATGTGTTTTTAAAAATATATTTAGTACACTTTATTAATACCTCGTGACAAAGCCTGTTCACATTTGTAGGACAGATATTTTTTCTTTCCCTTTAAAAAAAAAAAAAAACTCCATGAGATGAATCAGTGACCCAATTCATCACTGGTGAACTAGGATATAAAACTGGTTATCTCCGTGCTAACATCTTTAAAAAGCCTTGGTATCCTGGGCAAAAAGCAACCTGCAGGGAAAACTTTTCCACATCGCCATCTGTGTGGAAGCAGAGTTGCTACTGAGGAGACTTTTAGGAGTGTACGTCAACTGCAGTGTAGATAAAATTCTAACTTGTAAATACAGCATCATATACTAGCTGGATAACATCAGCTGGAGGATGTTTGCCTTTTGTTTCACTGTGCTTTTTCTAAGGAGAATTGTAAATGCTTCCTATCCTTTCTCTAAACATAGCTCTGTGACAATACTTTGAAGATTCTTTAAGACAAACAGTCTTTACCACTGAAAATCGCTATTGTTTCTCCTTTATTCCAGGTGATTATATTTAGCGGCCAGCTGCCAGTTGTGATAACCAAACACAGAAGAAAACTTATATGGTTTTGGGGCATCAGCAGAAAACTAGAGAAAATTCCTTTTGTTGATACTTCTACCATTAAGCTCCAGGTCAAAGGTAAATAAAACAAACAAAAAACAAAACCAAAAAATGAGGACATGTTCTTCCCATTCTTCCAAGGCTTTCCCCATTGTAAAAAGACCTTTAAGTATCAGAAATTTTATTTTTATTTAAATGATTTCGACTGCCTCAGTGAATTAGGGTTTATTTTTTACTTTATTTAAATAATGCCTTTATTTTAAGGAGAAAATATGAAAATTAAATGTATCTTGGCTACTTCTTATGAAAAAATGAAGGATTAGAAATTATATTGAATTTAGCAAATATTTAGTGAAAACCTCCTATGTGCCAAGGTGCTATTCTAGGGATGGTGAGTGGGAGAAAGATAATATACAAATAATTAATATTTCCTTCCTGAAGATGATGAGGTATTTACATATCAACAGTCTCTTGAAAATAAGACGGATGTTTCAGGGAGCCCACGTGCCTAGCACAGGGGTTCAGATTGAATATAGAGGAGAATTTTATTTGAAGAGGATTAATTGACTTTAAAACAGATATTCTTTCCAAGTAGTTACTGACAATTTACAGACAAATTTTATTTTCTCAATGGCCCTGCAACATTAGCAGGAAAATAGACTGTTTTGCCCAGCATGCACATAGAGGTTGATATCTAGAAGTGGCTGGTGGCTTACTCCAGATAACAGTAGCAAGCACTGATACAGTATCCAACTCTATAGGACATCATTCACAACAATTTACATATATTTATGATTTAGTCTTCCAACAATTTTAAAAGTAAATCCAATTATTATTTTTTGATGGAGAATTTGGGGCATTGAGAAATACAGTTAAAAGTACTGGTATGTTAATCTGGGGGGTTCAGACATGAGCCCTTCGATTTGTGAGTGGTGGGAATGTACTCAGAGGGAGTCAGGAAGCTCACAGCTTTCCTTCACTGGGTAACCGATGCTGGCAAGTTCTAGGGGTTCACTTCTCCATGGAACTCTGCAGTCCTGACACAGAGAACAGTGACACTGCAGAGAAAAGCCTTTTCCCCTCAATTCCAATTTGGAAATCCATATCTCTTTCCTTTTACTCTATCAATCCAACATAATGCCTGAAAGCTTAGAAAATGCATAGGAAGGTTTGGCAGGCTGCAAGCTTTACATTTATTTATTTATTTAAAAAAATCAGTCAGTTATAACTGGACCACCTCCTCCAATCACATATTGATTTCTGCGTGATATTTATACTGTTTCTGGACAAAAGGAGAGAGAGAGAGAGAGAGAGAGAGAGAGTCTCCTAGTTCTATCTGAAAGAGAGAGAGAGAGAGAGAAGAGGAGAGGAGAGGAGATTGAATATAGAGGAGAATTTTATTTGAAGAGGATTAATTGATTTTCAAACATATTCTCTCCAAGTAGTCACTGACAATTTACAGACAAATTTTATTTTCTCAATGGCCCTGAGAGGAGAGGAGAGGAGAGGAGAGGAAAAGAGAGGAGAAGGGAAGGGAAGGGAAGGGAAGGAAGAAAAGAGAAAGAGGGAGGGAGGGAAGGAAATTATGTTCTTGTTTGTTCATAGAGCATCAGTGTCTGGTCCTCTGTAATTCCAATCAATTTATTGGCAATTTGAACAATGTCAACTGAAATCTTCAAATTGTTGAAGACATTTCCAAGTGAAAATATGAAAGTAAGCGTTGATTTCTAGGAAGCTGGTTTCAAAGCCCATACACTGGTTTACTTCTGTATTTGCTCTTAGTCTTTTTGTGGCAGGTTTTTCAATGGCCTGTTTCAAATACCAGCGTTATAGATCTTTTTGAGCAAATTCTTTCAGATAGAGCATCTTAATGAGCACTTCTCACAGATAAAATATTTCCAGTTGTTACAGTTATCTGACAAAAGGACATTGTCTTTGAGGAATCTGCAGAGCTGGTTGGTTGACTGGGGTCTCTTTGTTGGTAACCTGGAAAGGCAAGTCAGCATATCTGAGGTTAGATGGGAGTGTGACAAGGATGCTTTTGAGGTTAACACATGAGAGAGGCCTTTTTGTTTTAATATGGCACCCTCCTGTGGTGGTTTTATCCTCCTCCTTCAGCAGCAGCAGTTTTGTCTCCATAAAAATATGTTAATGTAATTTTAACAGTGTACGAAGAAAAGGAAGCCATGTATACACAAAGATAGGTGGTAGATAGTATATGTCTCCTGACTCTTAATTCTCAAGGTAGTAGGGTACTTGATTCTGCTCACCAGTCTCTCTAGTTCTATCTGAAAAGTTCAATATGATAATTGCTTAATAATTATTACAATCTGTTTCCCTTAGTGCTCTAAACATTAAGTGATACAGAGAAAATGCACTTGATAATTATGTTATATTGCTCATTTAGACACTCATATTTTGGTTTATTTTCTGTAGGATAATGTTTGGAGGGCTGAGAAGAAGATTTAGAAGCTGTGAAACTACCTCTTCATAACATTAGCTTTAATTTCAATCAGGAGCCTGTGAAATTGAAATGCTGATATGTCTCCTGAAGGGAATCCAGTGTGCACAATAAAATTAACCTTTGAATTGCCTCATCTTTCTAGTTATTCTCACAACATTTTCCTCTGAGACTTACAGGTCGGGGGAAGGAGAGGAGCCATCTTGCCAAAGGAAAGGTGCCTGAAGTCCATCCTGAGATATTTCCACCCAGTACGCATAGCCTGCTTTGAGCTTCTGCAAGTTTTTGGTGATAAAAACCTATGAGAGAAGATCTGAACATGAACCAAGAAAAAAATAAACCATGAATAAAACTATCATGAAGTATGAATTCTGACATTTTGCCTAGCTGGAAATAAATGGTAACTTTAGTGCTGAAGAAAAAGAGAGGGGGTTATTTAAAAAAAAACAAAATGAAACAAAAAAAGTGGGGATACATCTTATAGATTTTTCTTCTGTTTCTGTATGACCAATGTAGTATTAAAGACAATGGGAAAAAGGCATTTGATATTAAAGTAATTTTAATGAATGGATTCAGAGTCTGACAATAGATGTCAACAAAAAAAAAAAAAAAGGAAGGGGGTAGGTTATACTGACCCCTCATAAGCAGACGTAAAAAGATTTTTTATATCATATGACACGTGGATCACTCTTTCCTAGTATACTTCAATATTACCAATAGTTTAGGAGATTCCAGAAGCAATGTAACTGCAAATATATTTTGTTAAAAAACATTTATAACTTTCATCATCAGATTTACACAGAAAATAATTTTGTATACCCATAATTATAATAGTTCAAGCCTTCCTAGCTTACCATATATCCTTAACACATTGTTTTCTCACTATTCTTGTAGAAATGAGCTTCAACTAATTACTAAATATAGTCAGAATACGTTTTAATGTAGTAAAAGATATGTTGTAATTATGCATTCTGTTTCATATATATTTATGTGTAGAATGATCTTAGAGAAATATCTTGTTCACTTGTTAAAATATTACTGAACTATGTTTAATATCAACTTAACATTTCATTTACCAAATACTTGGTTTTATTAGACCTATTCATTTCATGACATCACCTCAGTTTTTTATACTTCTGGTTTTCCAGATTATTCTATTTCTCTATAGCATGGAGAAATACATTGGAAAATATATGCAATAATCATGTATGTGTATGTTGAAGTGGGCTACATGTCATGGAAGACTGTTTTTCTTGTGGTCTAGTCTTTTCCTTTTCTTTTTCATTAACCAAGGACATAGAACTAATATACTCTCCTTGACTTCTGTAAAAGCAACCTGATTTTTGCTTCTCCCATTAAAAGGAAAATAAAGCATAGTAATTCCTACTTTATATCTTTTAAGTAATTATTTTTATAAATTTATTTTTATAAGTATTTATTTTTATGAATTTTATAAACTATTAAAAATATTAAAGAATTCTATCTTAGGAGAATCTTCTTTCTTTTAATAAGTAACATAGTATTTTCAGAGTGACGTGTAACCATAAAGCTGAATTTACCATTTCTTCTTTGCTGTCTATTTGTAGAAGACTGGAGCCCTCTTTCAAACAAGCCTCTTTGCTGGCTAGCCAACTTTTCCAAATATCAGAGACATAGTAACAACTCTTTCCATTCTGAATCCAGTTGTCGGAACAAGGACTGCAGTTACAGGCTTTGAATAGAAACATTTCACATTATTGTCACCACTGTAAAAATTAGTAGAATATCTCCCCAGTCTAACCCTCTGTCACCTCCAGGAAAACTAAACACTATAACCATGTGCAGCACTTAGCCATTCCCATGTGCAGCACTTAGCAATTCCAGTTTTTCTGATACTGAGAACCGTAAGATTTATATAATACTTTTGACCTACAATAGGTCTCTAAGAGTTGGTTTATTTAAAAGTAATTCGGAGACATTTTTACCCAAATATTTCCACTTCTATAAAAATTTATATGATTTTCTCAGTTTTATCAATCTTTTCCTTTCTTTGAATTTACAATATTTACAATCTTTTCTTGTTCACTTATTATCTCAGGCCTGTTAATCTTACTGCTCAAATTTAACCTGAAGTGTACTGAATAACTAGATGAATTGAATAGTAAGCCTTGAGTTCATGTTCAGATTCTGAGAGTTAAGCAAGAAATATTTCATGTCTAGCAGACAGAACAAACAGTACAACTTCAGGAATGATTTGAAAACATGTAGGAGAAGAAAATGGAAGAAGGATGTAAATGAACAGTATGTTTATTTTAGGACTTCGACATAACTAAAAGGTAAGCATTAGTATTCAATGTTTGAAGGAATTTGTTTTAAGAAAGAATGTATTCACAAAAAGAAGATCAACTGCATAAAGTAGAACAAAGAGCAAAAATTTGACCAAGAGATCTGGCACAGTTTTACAGGAGAAAAGATACTTAAACTTCCAGAACTGTTGTTTAGCTGCATTTTCTTTTTGAAAACTTAGTGTTTTCCCTATACTATTGGAGTAGATAAGAGTAAAAAGCATCTAAATCATGTCCCTCTACTATAAAATTCTGAAGAACAATTTTGAAGAGAATAAAATAAAATATATCATTGTTTTTTTCTGAGGAGTTAGTGCATGCATTTGGATTTCTACTGAAAACAACTGATCTTATATCAATTACCCAAACTGAAAGAGTTTTGCATCAAGGTTTGACAATATTTCATCTGAATGTCATGGTTTCTCTTCCATTGCGTAAAGTTCAACAATGCTCTTTCCTGGTGGATGAGTTTTTCTTGCTGCTGCATTGAGATGGTAGATACCTGGAAAACTACAGACAAGAATACTCATTCCTACCAAAATACTGACATCTTATAACCAAGTAATCCTTCAACACAGACTAAAGAAAGCTCTAAATTACTGATAAGTTTTGAGACTTGAATATGCATTATTTTAGATTTTTGAAAAATTTAAAATTTACATTTTTCAAGCATCAAATGTTAAAATTAGCTTGACACACAAAGATTAAGTATACCATGTTTTCTCTCATATGTAGAAATGAACAAAAATGACAAGAAAATAGAAGATGGATTATTGAAGAAGTGGAGGAATAGGGTAAAATGGAACAGAAGGAAGGAAAAGAAAGAATAGTAGGGAGGGTGAATATAATCAAAGCATAACATGTGTACTCATGGAAATGCCACAGTGAAACCCATTAATTACTACACTTACTATGATTAAGTAATTACTATAAAAAGAATCAAATGTTTCAAGGGATGCAGAGCAAAAAGCCATATTGGTATCCATGTTTTTTTTTTTTTTTCAAACTACCCAGTTTCACTAAGAGCAGATGAGTTTATCAATTTCTTCTTTATTTTTCCGAAGATATTTTTAATTTGACAAACCAATGAATATAAAATACTCTTCTCCCCTTTATACAAACGGTGACAATCTATTTACATGATATTGTACCTTTTATTACTTTAAATATATATTTTTAAAATTTATTTTAATTAGGTACGTATACATATGAAAACAGAATGCATTTTGATTCATTGTACACAATTGCAGCACAACTTTTCATTTCTTTGTACACGATGTAGCAGCATCGCACTATATGTGCACTCATATATGTACCTAAGGTAAGAACTTATATACTTTGGTTCTAGTTCTATAATGACACATCAAGAACTTTCTGTTACTCTTTCATCATACCTGTAAGATCCCATCATGTGAATGTCCTATATTTTTCTATTGCCTTTTAGGTGATTTGTAATTTTTCTTGTATGGCAAAAAGCATTATTGCATAAAGAATCTTAGTCTTACATCACTTTACATGTGCAAGTGTATTTTTAAGATAAGGTCAAAATTTGTGGACATTTAAATTGTATTAGATATTTCCAAACTACCATCCATATTATGAATTTACACATGTATAGTATAGAAATATGTAGATGTGCAATTATCTTTTTATGTTTGAAGTTAAAGTTCTTTTTACATGCATAAAGTCAGATGTATTTTCCTTTGTATGAAATGTATGATTATATCCTTTGTGATTTTCTCCCTGTTGAGTTTCTAGTCTTTTATTTTTTTATTGTGCTCTGAGAAATAGTTCCAGTAAGCCCAAAATCAGCCTGAGCAGTGTTTTATAAGTTCACAATGGCACTGACCTTCAGAAAAGGCATGAGACATACTGATTAATAGTGTACTTTTATAACCAAGAGTCCAGGAATTAGGGGACCAGATTATACTATCTTGTCAGCATTGTTTATTGATGACAGTATAATATGTGATTTGTCCTTGGTTATAATGAGACCATGAAAGAATTGTGGTGCTGAGCCAGGTTACTTAGCCTCAGCAAAGTTTTGCCTTTGTGATCAGCAAAATATAATAATCCCCAAGTGAGGCTCCATTTTGAGCTCCTTAGGACCAACATACCCTATATACATGTCATTGATTTCAGATCCAGGAGAGAAGCTGTGTCCTCACAGGACACTTTCAGAGTCAGGAAAAGGTGCTACCTCTCCAGGATCCTTCTGATGAGACAGACTTTGGCTAATATATATGTTTACTTTTATGATGTTCTTAAGTTGTGTCCTTACCTTATAATAAACTAGATTTATGAATGCTCTCATTCTGAGTCAGGCGAGTCTCTTTTAGCAACCGACCCTGTTATCTGATACTGTGTGCACAAACATGATGTGGAGGCAGATTTTGTATGATATGAGCTACAATTATGTGTTTCTAGTTTGTATGTTGGGTTTGTGGTAGTTTATGCCACATAGATTCAGTATTTTTGATTAATTTTTAGTAAAAGAGTTTTATATGTGAGATTATACTTCTATATTTTAATTTATATTTTGATGTATGTGGAATTTATTTGATTGTAAATTGTAAGGTATAACTTCAATGTTTCCCCCAGGTATCTACAGAGTTGTCTTAGTCATTTGTTGAATATCTTCCACCCCCATAACTCTTCAGTTGCTGCATTTAAATCACTGTAAATATCTAATAAACTACTCAGATTTAGTTTTGTTTTAATTATATTCAGCTCATCTATTTATTTATTCATATTTCAGCATGTCAGGGCCTTAATTACTTTAACTTTGTAATTTGTTTCAGTATCTGATACTTTAATACTGTATTAGTTTTTTTCCCTTACTATTCTGACTAGCTTACTAAGCCCATTTCTTTTAAAAAAATCACTTTATAAAGTAGCTGCCTGTTCCTATTACAGTAAACACTTCTCTTAACATGCATTGAGTATTTATCTTATTTGGTTGTAATAGAATTTCTTGAACTTGCAGTTTAATGTTTTTAATCAATTTTGGAAAATTTTTATTCAAAAGCCTTATAATAGTACTTTTGTCCAACACTTCCTTTTCCACTTTTGGCTGTACTATAACACATATTCTAGTGTTTCTTGAGTTTTGTGTCTCTCTCTCACTTTTGTATATTTTGCTCTTTTTTTACAACTCCTTTTTTATTCTCTATATTATTTCTGCTTTATTTTCTAATCTATTAATTTGCCCTTCAGCTCAGGGGATATATTAAAATTTTGCAGGGGAAGGGACCAATGGTAGAGCAGATCATTGCTGTTGAAATTGTTAATGTATTATTAAGATATGATTGAACATTTGATACATTTTCATGCATATATTCCTGCAACAGACTATCTTTACAATGGAAATAATGAACTTAACTATCACATAAAAGTTTCATCTTTATAACTCAAATTTTATTTTGAGGCAATGTGAATTCATATGCAGCTACAAAAAAATAATAAAGATTTCAGGTACCCCTGGCCCACTTTCAACCAAAGAGTAACATCTTGCAAAATTATAGGTCAATGACAATACCAGGATATTGAAATCGATATATTCAAGATGCACAGGTTCTCCATCACCATGTATGGCCATCATATTTCCTTTTATAAGTAAGCATACCCATTACCCTCTTGCCCCATCGCTCCCAACACTAATCTATGTTCTAGTTCTATAGTTTTGTCATTTCAGTGATGTCATAAGTGGGATCTTATAGTATGTAACACTTTGTAACTGGCCTTTTCCATTCACAATAATTTCTTGGTGATTCACTGGATTGTTGTCATAAGTAGATAGATAATTCATTTTTTATTGTTGATATGGATTACCACATCTGTTTAACCATTTGCCTATTAAAGAAGATCTGTGTAGTTTTCTGGCTTTGCTCATTTCCAATAAAGCTGCTGTACACCTGCCTGTACAGCTTTTAGTAAATATAAGCTCTCATTTCTCTGAGGGAAATGCTCAGGAGTGCAATTGCTATGTTCTGTTGGGGTAATAAGTTTAGATTTTTAAAAGAAATCACTGTGAGATTTTCCAGAGTGATTGTTCCATTTTACTGAAGTGAGTAAGCCAGCTCTCTTTACTCTCATGAGCACTTGATGTTGTGATTACTTTTTATTTTTAGCTCTCTGAGAGGTGTATAGTGATATCTCACTGTGGCTTTAATTGCTTTTCGTGAATGTTAATCACATTGATCATCTTTTCTTATGCTTACTTAAGTATATATGCTTAAGTCTGTATATCTTCTTTGAAGAGATGTATTTTGATTTGTTTTTTTATTTTCTAGTTGAGTAGTTTGATCTTTCACTGTTGAGTTTGAAAGTTTTTATATACTTTTTATATTCTAGTCCATTATTGGATGTGAAGTTTGCAAGTATTTAGTTCATCTGTAAATGGTTTTTAATAGTGTCTTTTGTAAGGAAAACATTTTCAATGTTGAGGAACATGCAGCTTAACAGTGTTTTCTTTTTATTAATTATTCTTTTGATGTCAATTCCAATATCTCTGCCTACCCTTAGATACTGAAAAAAAATTCTCCATATTTTCTAAGAGTTTTATAGTGTTTGCTTTATAGTTGACACTGTGACACATTTTGAGTTGATTTTTGATATTTTTATAAGATGTGAGACTTAAGACTTTTTTGCCAATGGATATGCAATTTATACATCAGTATTTGTTGAAAATGTTATTCTGCTTCATAGAGTTAATTTTGTATCTATATAAAAAATCAGCAGAGCATATTTGTGTGACACTATTACCAGGTTCTCTTGTATTTTGTTGCTGTATTGTTCAGTAATACACATTGCCCTCATTAATACTGCTATATGATGTTTTAAAATCAGGAAGATTGTTTCCTCCCTCATTATTCTTGCTTTAACTACTCTAGTTCTTTTGATGCTGCATATGAACTTTAGAATCACATTATCTACATCCACAAGAAATCTTGCTCATATCTTGAAAAGAATTGCATTAAACCTGCAACTCAGGAGGCTGAGGCAGGAGGGTTGCAAATTTCAGGCCAGCCTCAGCAATTTAGTGAAGCTCTGACAAACTTAGTGACATTCTGTCTCAAAATAAAAAATAATGACTGGGGATGAGGCTCAGTGATTAAGCACCCTGGATTCACTCTCTAGTACTTCAAATAAATCAAAACAGTAACAACAACCCCTCTGCCCCCCCAAAAAATAAGGAGGCTCCAGAAAACCATAAAAAAGAATTTGTAATGGTGAACATTCAAATAAGAATTATTGAATATGCAGGAAAATGTCACACTTGAATATTAAAGATATACAATTTATACATCAGTATTTATTGAAATTTTTTTTTTTTTTTGGTTTGTGTGTGTGATTGTTATTTCCCCCAGGGGGAGCAGTAATCTGCATATGAATTTGAGCAAAACTGACATTTTTCCTGTGTTGAGTCTTACAATTCATGAACATGCCCTGTATTTCCACTTAGTTTTTTTATTTCTTTCATCTAGTAGTTTTCAGCATATACATTCTGAACATGTTTTGTTAAGCATTTCATTGTTTAGAGTAAATACAATTAGTACTACATTTTTAATTTTGATGTTCATGTTCATTACTAAAGTATAAATATAAAATTGATTTTTGTGTATTTACTTTGTATTCTGACTTTGCTAAATGAATTTGTTAGTTCTGAGTAGAAGAGCTGTGCCAGCGCCATTTACTCTGTAGAGATAGTTTAATAGAGAGCTACAGAATTAGCTTCAAATAAGCTCATGACATATTAATAATTATTAACTGGCAGTCATTAAGTGCCTATGTTGTTAAATAGGAGAGAGAATGGCAATCTCTTAGTAAATTAATTAGTTAATTAATTGGTAAATTACTAATTAATTGGCAATCATTAGTAAATTAAAAATAATAAACGATACATGTCAGCCAAATCTAAAGGAGTAAAACTCAGATCTTCTAGAGAAAAATAGGGGAAAAGGAAGAAAGTGAATAGAACTGTAAAATGATTTCTATTTTTTAACAAGAAAAAGGAGGTAAACAAGATCAAAAAAGGACTATCTGATAAAGATAGGCTGATCTTACTTGTAATAAATGAAGTGGCCAAACTCTACTCTTCCTAGCTGCCATTTAGGTTCATGAATTATTAGAAAAATGAAAATAAAGTAAATATTAATTAAGATTGGCCCACTTAAGATCTAGTTAACTCTGCCTTTTGGGGAAACAGGACACAATTTGGCTGTGCTCCTAATAGTGAATATTATAATGAAGGGGAAGATTATAATTTGTAAAATAAAGCAATTTGCATCATCATTACTTTGCCCATCTCCCCCTTACTGGCCAAGGCAGGACACACAATAGGACATTAAATCACATATTTCACATTCTGATTTGTTTTACTCACCAACATTGCTGCTAAAAAGAAAATATTGGAAATCAATAACCAGGAACTAGAGAAAGCAGGAGTTCATGCCCTGCTTCTCTGTGGATCAAGAAACTCTGGCTCAGCTGATTGGATTGTTTTTTCTCTTATCAAAGTGTGGGCCTAACCAGAGTGGGGGAATAGGACAATGGTGTTCTTTATTTTATCTTGTTAGCTATTTGGCAAACTTAGTAAAATGCAATAATTTAATTTTTAGGAACTTGAAATATAAGATGCTTTTTTTTAGATTAGCTGTATTTTAGAAGCGATTGTTGCTCTGTTTATTACTCTCTGATTAGCTTGTACTATACAAAACTATTAAAACTGGAGAAAGGGAAATGAGACTTCTCTTTTTTATCCTAAATGGGAAGCAAAATACTTCACTTTTATTTGAGGTTGGAATTCATTTCCAACAAGTAAGGTTAACATTGTAATTACCTGGGGAAGCATAACAAAATACTTCTAAAACACCCCAAATAAAAATATGTGCTGTACAATGTACATTAAATCTAGCTAAGAATATATGAGAAGACCCAGGAAAATCATAAGGTTGATAACAACAAAAAATAAATGAAAGCTACTACATTTGGACAAAATTCAAAGGAAAAAGTATTACATCTGTGTAATACTTATTTACAGCTATAAGATAAAACAAAAAATCTTTTACTTGTAAGAATTTTCCAGAAATTACTGCTAGTCTTAAACATATTAGAGTCTAGCTAGTGTCTCATTATTTTTATCAAAGTAACTTTATTTTTTTTCAAACAATTTTTGTCTAAAGATATAAAGGAAAATTGGCATATCCTACATTCATAGGATTAAAATATTTTTAAAAAACACAAGCAAGTATAACTGACATAGCTTGTTATCATCATCATTATCATCATCTATCATACTTATATACTCTATTGTTATTTTGTGTAAATTCAAGAAAATATTCTTTTTAAATCAAATTATAGCATAATATACAGTATTTTGAATGTTGCCCTTTTTTTAACCTAATAGTGTACCATGGAGATATTTCTATAGCAGTGCATAAAAAGATTGCTTCTCTTTCTCTCTCCCTCCCCTTCACGGTACTCTATTGTATAGATGAAATATTAGTTATTTAAATGGTCTCTTATTGATGTACCATTTGGATTTTTCCAGTTTTTAAAACTTCCTACTGCTGTGTGTACAAGTTTATCTATAAGATAAATTTATAATGTGGTATTACTAGGACAAAATTAATTAGTATCATTTACAATAACTAACAATTCTTAGAAATATGATTGTCATAGTTTATCTAAACACATCTCATGCACTAGACAGAGAATAAGACAAAATTATATATATACTGACATCAAGTATTATTAAAGACATTTAAAACATCCAATTTACTTTTATAGACACATATTATATGATTTTTTTATCATCTGATTGTTGTAGTTGGACACTCTAGATTTTATTTTTATATATAACCAAATTTTATATTCCATTCACTTGACAATATTGCTATAAGATGTTATCTATTCAGTTAATTTTGTTCTTAATCAGATACAGCTTTTTAAATTTTTAAGTTTCTTTTATTCCCTTAATATTTATAAAAGAAACATTGAAATTTATTTTATAGAATTAATATTTAAACTACATCTGCAATGAGTTCAATATGGATTTTTGTGTTGTAAAGTTAGAAAAGAGGTTGGAACTATTTCATTAAACATCCCAAGTTTTGAAGGGGACCAAATTATATTCTATGCTTGTATGGTTATGTCAAAATGTACTACAATATTAAGTATAACTATAATAAACTAATAAAAAATAATAAAAAAGGTTCTCAGTTTTTACTGAAGAATATCAAGATGTTTACTGACTTACTATTAGTTCTATTTAAATGAATTTTTCTAGTGTGTTTGATAAACAGATATTTAACATATGAGCATCTTAATAGATGGACTAGAATTTACTTAAAATATTGAAAACAAAACAGAAGGAGGGTAGATGGAGAAGGGAAGCTTTCTGGAATTTCTAACATTTGTGTTGGGCTGTGTTATTTCATCTGAGGAGATACACAGGGTAACAAGAATGATTTGAGTTTTAAAATAGTTCTCTAAGAATCATTAGAAAATTCATCTTCTAGCACTATGTGAGCAAGTTCAAGCTTGTCAAAGAAAATCTAACACTTTCCTTTAGCCTTCTCAGAGCTCATTGTACTTCCTGTTCAGCAGATGCCTCTGAGATAGAGAAATGATTTGCCAAGGTCATCACAAAAATTATCCAAATATAACCTCCATCACTATCTTTCTAAGCATATTTTTTCAGTGCTAGCAGAAGCCATATTAGAGGTTCTTAGTTTTTTTTTATGGATTTGGAAACTCCATAATTGTTCTATTTTATAAAAATTTCATGTGCTAGACATGGAAACATTTCTCTAATATGAATAAAAGGAATAAACCAGTGTGCTTAAGTATGGCTCAAATATAGCTCTTAGCTTTGCTTTAAACATTTGAAATTGTACCTTGCTTAATGTGCAGTGAAACACATTAAAATAATCTGAAAAAGTCATTTGGAATAACTGTATATTAGAAGAGTATATCTGAAATCTTTCAATCCTTTGGCATGCTAATGTGACTCACAAATAGAATCAGAATAATAGTAATGAGAGGGAGATTGTAGCTCAGTAGTAGAGTGTGCCTAGTGTATGTACAAGACCCTGGGCTTGATCCCTTGCACCATGAAATAAATAAAAGAAAGAAAGATGAAAGAAAAAAAGAAAGAAACAAAGAGTAAGAAACTATTCTCATTGTTTTTTTCTCAAGGAAATATATAAGATTAGATTTGAGTTAAATAATATGTAAGCCATCATTGATGTTATCAGTAATATCCAAGTGCACATAGATACATAATAAATAATTATCCTATAATTTAAATCAGAAAACCTTTATTTATATCATTTAGACACATTCAAATAGTTTTTAACTGGTTTTTCATTCACTTGGAAATCATGAAGTTTTTATGTAATGACATACATATAATTATATGAACGTGTAATTTATAACTTATATATGTTAATAGATTTTTTAAAAATATTCTTTTGTACTTACATTTGATGCCCAAGAAAATGGATGTTGTTAACAAGCCTATGCAGAAAATCCATGAAATCGCCATCACAACACAGTATGTTCCTAAACATGAAATTGGGACAATGAAATTGAATTAGAGAAAGTACCAGCAAGGGATGGGTCAGAGATAAGATGAGGCTGAGCAAAAGAAGGAATTTATACTGGTGCATTCTCACTGGAAAATTATGGAGGCCTGGAATTTGTAATTATGTGTAATAGGAAAAAGAAAGCCTTTTTAAAAACTTTTTGAAATGAAAGTGATAATTTGGAATGCATCTGATTTGGAAAATGTCAAATAGATTTAATAGTACACCTCTCGGTCTTTATGCATAGTATCACAACCTTACTAATTAATTACATGTTTTATTTTTCAACAGTCTTTAGGGATTGTCACAAGCCAGGGAGCTGCCTTGAATTTTTGAGAGCAAGAATGCAGTTGTATCTCCCATACCTCTTTTAAGTATCACTTAAATATGACTGATTAAAATATATTTCTTTATAAGTTATATAATTTTGGATGAAGAATAAATTTTTCCAGCTAATTTTATAATTCTTAGGAAGGAAAATTTAAGAATGTGTGATTTATTATATTAACACTACTCAAAGAAAAATAAATAAAATTTATCTTTAGATAGTGTGGTAGGGTTCCTTATCCTTGGTACCTGTAAATAGTATTTTATGTGGCAATAGACACTTTGAAGATGTTACTAAATTAAGGATTTGGAATGGGAGGTTTACACTGGCTTATTTGGATTCTTATAAGCAAGAATCAGATGATTAGAGACACAAAATGTGATGAAATGATAGAAGCAAAGAAACGTTAAGGTGTTATGCTATTGGATTTGCAGATGAAAGAAGAGAGCTTAGAGCCAAAGAAAGCAATAAATGCAAGTCTAGAAACTAGAAATGACAAGGGGATAGATTCTCCTGTATAACCCTACCAACATCTTGGTTTTGGCACAGTAAAATCCATTTCAAATTTTGATCTCTAAAATTTTAAAATGATAAATTTATGTTGCTAAATTTATGATGACTTGTTGCATCAACAGAAACACACTAATGCAAATATTAAATAAGAAGACATAACTGACTACTATAGCAGGCAGCTCCAGGATGATATTTTTTCACTTTTCCCATTTTTTATTTCTTAGTATTTATCAAATAATTTAGAGAGTGTTTGATACAAGAATTAAAATGATATAATTTATTTTACTTATTTTCTAAATCTTGAAATGCATCTTTCTTTCTTTCTTTCTTAAGAGAAAAGGAGACATATTTGTTAAGTCTCTCATTCTTTTCTTTTTTCACCTTTATTTACTCCACTTCATTTCATTTAGTATGTCAGGCATATGAAAATATTCTAAGTAGATTATCTCAGATTAGAAATAAATAAATCTTAGACTCATCATAGAACAAGAAACAAAGCAGAAACTCAAGTCTTACCCTAAAAAATTAGAACTCATTACCTGAAAGTTTGGTGGAAGTCAGACATTTCTGAGAAGTTTCTGATGTTGGATTATCCCACTGAAGAGAGGTGTATATTTCTTCTTCGTGCATGGCTGAGAGGCTTTGATAGGTAAAGCAGCCAGTCCATGCAGGAGGCTGATACAAACAGCTCCATTTGTGGTTAGGAGCAAGTTGGTGAATGAAGTGAAACTGGCTACTTTTTTCGCAGTAGTGGGAAAATATGTTTGGGTTTAAGGAACAGAACTGATGCATTTTCATTTGAAAGTGGAAGTTTTTGAAGTGTAATTGGTAAAGAAGGAAGTGAGATCGTATTGAACTTGATATGGCCAATGGTAGAACATGGTTCTGCTCTGGTTTCCAAAGTGTCACAAATACAGAAGGTGATGGCCCTGGGTTAGTTTAGAAAGGATATATGTGCAAACAATGTCCTTCTATTTGGCACAAGATATGAAGCAGAGAGATGGCTTAGACAATGGAGATACAAGGAAGATCACAATGGGCAAACCAGGATGTAGATCATCACTATGTGTCCTTAAGAAAGTTAGGAAGGGATTTCATTCCTAAAATAAATTTACATGCTATATGTTAATTTGGGTAATACTAACAGCTGTGATAAGTAAACCTCAAATATCGGTTAACATTATAAATTTTTTTTTTCTCACAAAACACCTTAGCTCCAGTAATCTTGAATGGTGGACAGCTTTTCTCCCAACGGGACCTGGATTTCTGGCACATTGTGAGACATTGATCCTCTACTTCTATCCACTGGAAAGGAAAAAGAGAAAGTGGTAGATTCACACTTCTTGAAAGCCAAAACCTAGAATTAAAATGTATCACAGCCACATCTACCAAGGGCATATCCATATATGGATATAAAGGTTAGGTTTGACAAGTATATATATATATATATATATATATATATATATATATATATATATATATATATTTTTTTTTTTTTTTTTTTTTTTGCC